TGTTTAAAACATCATGTGGTACAACTCAGTCTTGCTGAACGAGTACCTAATGCTCTGATACATGAAAATTATTATTTTCCAAGATAATTTTAGAAGGCTGTGGCTTGAAACAATTTATCTCCCTACTCTCTTAGTGGTCCTCTGCTCCTAAAAATTCAGAAAATATAATCCCTTCTTTTCTAAATTTAAAAATTCATGCCATGACAACCTTAGAGCCTTGATCTTCCCTGTATAAATAAGTGGATTTTTACTCCCTTCTTCTATTTTTTTTAGATTTTATATATTTATTCATGAGAGAGAGAGAGAGAGAGAGAGAGAGAGAGAGAGAGAGAGAGGCAGAGACACAGGCAGAGGGAGTAGCAGGCTCCATGCAGGGAGCCCCACGTGGGACTCGATCCGGTGTCTCCAGGATCACACCTTGGGCTGAAGGCAGTGCTAAACCACTGAGCCGCCTGGGCTGCCCCTACTCCCTGCGTCTAAGTAAGAAAAGGGAAAGCTCATATAATTAATCATGATTGAAAAATCAGCTCTTTTACTTTCTGTAGTTGTAATATAATAAATGTCGAAGAATCAGTTAAAATAGAAGCCAAGTCATACTACAGTTGTGAAGACAAGAGCTCTGAAACTCTTATTTCTATTATTTGAAAATGTATCACACACCATCATCTTTCAGCTGAGAAGGAAAAAAAAATATAACACTTGATTTAAAACAATAAAAACACCATGTTCCCAACTAACACATCACAGAGAAAGACATGAAAACTTAACCTCAGATACCCATTCAAAACTAATATCCATCATGGACACATACCTCTTTGTTCCCCATCATCTTAATCCTTATCTCACAATCTTATCCATAGTTCAGTTTCCAAATTGAATTTCTGGATTCTTTTCCTCAAGAACAAAAATTGTTAATACGTATTTCAGCTACATCACAAATATGAATAGAATAATACATAGTAAATATATAAGTTCTATGGTATAAGTCATATTTAGTGAACAACAGAGCACTCAGATAATAAATAAACTTTACTCCCAAATAATTCACTATCATTTTTTTCTGTGGATTTTTTTACATAATTGAGATCATACTGTATATATAACTTCATGTCCTGCTGTTTACTGGATAGCTTAAGAATAACTCATATTAATAAAGAAATAAACATAATTTGAGGAATAATAAATATGCTGATTGAAATTAAAGTGAATGTTTTGAGGTTATATTTCTTATCCATATATTATTTAAAATTCAAATATCAAGGGCAATTGCTTTTTGAAGCTACTCTTGGTTTATAGTGATTAAAACAAACAGTGTTTGCCTACTATTGCTATAAAATGTGGTACAACCACATACTCAGGAGTTTGCAGTGAGCATTGACAGGCTTAAACTCAGAACTGATAAACTGTCATTTCTGTCCACATCCATAATGAAAACAGGCAGCATGGTTAAGTTCAACATCAACTGGTAGAAAGGAGACTTCCCCACAGAGGCTGGGATGGGGAGAGAAAGAGAGAGTATTTTCTGAACAATAGTCTTATCTCTACAAGTGGCAAATGTGGCACATTTATCCTGGTATTCGTTTTGACAGGAGCATGCTCTGGGTTCACGCAAAAAAAATGGCTTAAAATTATTAGTCAATAAATTTAAAAGAAGAAGTACTAAACAGTCCTAATTTATAATACTTGAAATTATTTGATTTGCCAGAAAGATTCTGCTGCATTCCTAGCATCCTGCGGAAGACATGTGGTGCAGATTTTATGAAAATGATAATGCATGAGATATTACAGTGTGTCTGCAGAATTGAAGGTTAATAACAGTTACACATATTCTTACAGTCCAGATCTCTCCATGCTCTGATGGGGGTGGGAGGGGGGGCGTCACTGTGCTGGAAATCAGGCTCTGCTTTGATACGATGCTGAGTAGAGGGAACTGCATCTGAGAAGAAAACTGGAAGTGTCAGGAAATTTCTAGGAAAACTAATGTTCTTTTACGGGTAAGGTTTATGGTTGTGAAAATGAGGTGGACTAGGATGAGCTGATCTAGGGTGGTGGATGGGGTAAGCTGAAGAATATTCCCCAATTATATTTAGATCCTTATCCCTGGAACCTGTGGCGGATATCTTATTTGGCAAAAGGACTTTAGAGATATGATTAAATTAAGGCTTTTTGGATGAGAAGATTGTCCTGTATTATCTGGGTGTGCCCCAAATGTAATTCCAAGTGTCCTTATGAAACGGAAGCAGAAGTGGACATATAATTACTTACTACAGAAGAGGAGACAATGGGATGATGGAAGGTGGGGACTGAAGCAATGCATCTTGCAGATAGAAGAAGGTCAGCCAAGGAATGCAGGCGCCCCCCCAGAAGCTGCGAAAGGCAGAAGACAGACTCTCCCCTAGAAGCTCTGGAGGGCATGTAGCCCTGCCAATACCTTGATTTCAGCCCAGTGAAACCCATTTTGAACTCAGAACTCTTAAGAGAATACATTTATGTTGTTTTAAGCCACCAAACTAGTATAGATGGTACCACAGAAAGTTTCTAAGCTCCTAAATTGACCTGTGGACTGGAGTACTCTGTTCTGGAAAAAAAAAAATCACAGAATTCTGCACAATGGGCAATATCCAATGAAATGAATTCCTGTTGGAATGAAATGTTTCTGAACTAAATGAGATAAAACTAAAGGAAATAAGGTCGTACTCACTTGAGGAAGTTGTTTGTGTGAGGAATGGAGGCCTCCAGCTTCTCATGGGTTGAACTGTGTCCACCAAAAGGATGTTGAAAATGTTGAAGTCCTAACCCTCAGGACTTGTGAATAGGATTGAACTTGGATAGAGGGTGATTGCAGATGATCAGGCTGAGATGAGGTCACGAAGGTGGGTCCTCATAAGAGGGGGGAATTTGGACACAGAGACAGACGTGCACATGGAGTGATGCCTGTGAAGGTGGAGGCAGACTGTGGTGGTGCCACAGAAGCCAAGGAATACCAAAGCTCGCCAGCAAAGCACCGGAAGCAAGGAGAGAGGCAGGCAGACAACAGATTCTCCCTCATGGCCCTTAGAAAGAATCAACTGTGCTGACCCTTTGAGCTGGGATTTCCAGCTTCAGAACCTGGCCTGGACGCCCAGTTTGTGGCGTGGTCTCGGCACCCCCCAGGAAGGAACACACGGAGAGCAGTGAGGGTTTGTCCATCACAGCTTTGTTCCAAACGGTATCATAGGCAGCTACGCTCTCAGGTCCTCGTATTAATTAGTCCTAGAGCCTAATGCCAAGACTTCCCTTTGGAATTAATTTTAATCGAGTTTTGTTCTGTTTGGATTTTTGTTTATATTTAAAATTTAAATGCATGAATTCCAAAGTCGCTAATTCTATGTTTAATTTGGCAAGCTGCCTTTGAACACATCTCTTTCTCTGTCTTTAGGTTTCTCTGTCTCTGTCTTGTCTTTCTTCCTGTGATTCCCCACCCCCTCCATTCTCTCTCTGTCTCTCTAGGAGAATTATCACAAGAAAGTAATGGTGGAATGTAGCAGAGATAAGGTTGCTTTTCACAACCCTTGACTGGTTCTGGGCTATAAGTGAAGCTTCACTTAGAGCACAGCCCATTGGATAATCAGGTCACAAAAGGTAAGTCATAGAGTTAGAAAGCTCTCCGTTCCTTCTCTCCATTTCCCATCCATCTATATGTTGCCTCAAAGCCAGAACTAGAATATCTGTATCTTCTATGAGGGGCTGAGTGGGCTCCTTTGGCTTGTGTTGAACCTGCTAGCCTGTTGAGACTTATTTCCAGGCTGGAATACAGCCAAGTGCACTGGGGCTAAGGCTATGCATCCTCAAGGATCGATATTAGGGAGTCCTAGGGCTTGAGCCTCCTTCCTTGCATCTATTTGTTCATGGATCTCTTCCTTCACAGAGGACCACCCTCCCAGGCCAAGGTTTGGAGGTTGGAGGCTGCCCTGTGGGAACCTTCTGAGGCTAAGGTGCCTTGCTAACACATCTGATTAAGTTTCTCTTTCTCTGTCTTTAGGTTTCTTTGTTTCTGTCTGAGAGGGTGGTGCTCAGAGCAGTTGCTCCCAGTGCTCCCAGTGCTCCCAGTGCTATGGGCATAAGGGTCGGGGCCTGTGTGACCCATGAGGGACAGCAAAGAAGGCTGCCACCAGGGCCGGTGTTTGTCTTAGTCTTACTCTTAGGGAGTTGATTTCTGAGGCAGGAATTGGCAAGGCGGTGCTGGTCAAGTGGAGGTAGGCCAGTGAGAGGAGGAGAGATGCTTATTAGTTTGGATTCTCTGAAAGGTGTAAAGCAGTTTTACTCACACCTACTACTGAGAAATGACATTCTTGGGAAGGTGTAAAGAAGTTGATGGGATTTAGAGCGGACAAAGGTTCCTGTCATCTTGTTCATGCTACCATTGTTCAGGAGTCGAATAAACTCAGTAGCTAACGGTTTTAAGAGTTTACTATGTGCCACATACTGTTCTCTGTATTTTTCCCGAAATAATTCACTTAACCCTCTTATAAGAACTTCTTAGGCAGGTATTATAACTATTTTTATAGGTGAGAAAACCGAGTGAAAGAGGGCTTGAGCCATCCCTGAGCCAGCAAATCAGAGGCGAGAGGAGCTTAACAAGTTAGCAAATAAGAAAATGGTTTTAACATGGGTTTTGAGTGCTGGTAACTTGTTTATGACTGTGACGAATCACTTAAAAAAGGGATGCAGAGCAACAATATCCCTGTAAAACTGAAAACATATTGCCTGCACCTTCCTTCAGAATCTGGAATGTTCCTGGAACTGGTCTGTGTGTGGTGTGTGTGTGTGGTGTGTGAGTGTGTATGCACACATGCATGTGTGTGCATGTTATTTGTTTAAATCTATTAACAGTTGACATGATGACAACAGTTAGTTTTGCCATTATAAATATATATTTTCTTTTTGGACTGAAACTCCTTCTCTGGAACGTATTTATTTGCTTACTTAATTAATTCCACACTTAGTGATCAAATGCCTACCGTGTGCAGACCTTGTGCTCTGAAGACACATTCTTTGCCATCACAACCTTTATTGTACAGCTCTATTTTGACTGTACCTGCCATATTATGAAAAATTCAACATTTATGCCAGAGAAAAAATAAGAAAGAAAGGCAAGGATGAAGGAGAAATGCAGTTCTGTAGGGAGCCACCCCAAGGCCCCAGAAATCAGGGCAGAGGCTGCGCCAAGCCCATTGCTTATCTCAGCTGTCTTTCTCTGGTTTCTTTCTCTTTCTTAAGTTGGATGAACAGATGCAACTAGCACCCAGTTAGGCCAGCCAAAGGGATTCCCTAAAAGCTCCATGCTTGGGGAGTGGAGGTTGGGCATCTACTGGGCTCGAAAGGTCTCTGGCTTATCTAGGCAGCTGCTAGAGCCCTGTCCCTGTTTTTATCACAGACTTTATCCTAAGCTGTAGCCATTTGCTCGTATGAATGCAGATGTGAGGCTTTTTATTTTTTTTTCTCTCCAACCACCGCTGAAATACAATTAAAAGGTCAACCAAGGATCCTGAACAAATTGTGCAGGGGTTGAGGGGACAGGAAGCAGAGGGAGTGCTCTATTTGAGGATTAGCTTGTTTACAACAGAGTTAAAAAACATTTTGTTTCAAGCAGAGTTGTATGCATTTGTCAATAAAACCAGGCTTGGAAAGGGCAAAAATCAGCTTGTTTGTCACAGAGTCCCCGTATGCTTAAGGATCCGGCCCCAGATGAGGAGCTTGCAAATGTTGATACTCATCCTACTCGCACTCATGCCCTGGCCAGTCACTGAAGGGAATTGTGTGATGCTTTGTCCTGGGGACCTGGGACAAGGTCTTGAGCGTGAGTATTTGTGCCAGGATACACTAGTAAGGGAGTGAAAAAATGAGATTAGGTAGGGCAGGACCTCAGTGTAGGATGTAGGATGTGTTAGTAAGTAGGTTACTAACCTACTTGATAGTTGGGGCTCAGTCTAGCTGGGACCTCTGGGAATGGTGTAGAATGGGCCTCCAGGTTGTCCCACCCAAAAACCAATGACACTGACATATATACGTATCAACTCCCTTTGTCACTGGCTCGGGGCTGTTCCCAGGGGTTCAGAATCCCCTGGACTTCTAGCCATGGACTCTTTTGCATGCAAAAGAGGCCTTGCAACAGAAAAATACAGTGCTTGCCAATAGTGTGGGCAGAGGGTCTATAGGAAGACTACCAACCTTGTTGCCATGAGCTCTAATCATGATAGGAAAGGAAAAGAAGTATCCAGTTATATCATTGGACCCCAGACCATATCATCTTGTCAGAGTTACAAGGACCTTGACCCAGGAATGGGCCATAGTTTATCCTCTGAGGATGACTAATGGACAAGGAACAGTAAGGAAAAGCAGGATGCCCTGGGGGTGTGGCTCCAGGACTGGAAGTTTGAATCAGGTTTCCTGAAAAGCAGGGACTATACAACATCTGTGTCAGAAGTTAGAACAAGCAGCCCATGGGCTGCGTCTTCCTCAAGTTAGGTTTTGTTTTAACACAGTATCTGTGTTTGTGTTTTGCCAAGAGTATCTGTGTTTGTGTTACATAAATAGCTTGCCAAACTATACGAATCCAGAGAGCTCATATAAAAATCAAGATTTCTAGCAGCCATTTAAAAAAAAAAAAGTAGATTGTAGCTTCCTTTGGTTACAATCTCAATTACCACCTGAACTGTTGTTTCTGGGTCATGGAGATGAACAGTGGGTTGCATTTACCAGAGAACTTATGCTTTTGCTTTTCTTATATCCTGCTTTACTCATGTGCATTTCCTACCTGGCTGCTATAGGCATTTGAGTGGGTAGCTTCTTATTTTTATAATCTGGTCCCTCTAACACCATACCCTAAGGTCTGCTAGTGGACAACTGGTTTCCAAGGATTTTACTGGTCATCTATGTTCCCATTCCTAGAGTCAGGAAGGTATTCAAACTCTTGACTCTCCTATTTAAGACCTTTAGGAACTTTCTGTGGTCTTAATCCAAACCCCCCCTGACCTTCATCCCCCTGCTTTCGTGCCTATGACACATTTTCCAGGCACATTGACTGAATCGTGTTGACCAGACTGCTTCACAAGAGTTAGGTTTTCCTGTCCTGAACCAAATTACTCATTTTTTCATCCAAACATGATTGTTCTTTCTTATAAATGGCAAATGAAGACACAAAATACCCATTCTCACTCACTGTTTTTGTCACAGAGCTCATCCAATATATCAGCAAATTCTTAGAGCATTACCTTCAAATTTTACCTTAGTTTCCCATGCTATATTCTGGGTCACCTCTAAAGCTACCATTGTGGCATAGGCCACCATCACTTCTCTTTTTGATTATGCTGATGATCTCCTGATGGGGCTCTCAGCATCCACCATTGATCCCCAACGGTCTATGCTCAACACAGCAGCCAGTGTGGTTATTCTGAGACTTAGCTCACATCATGTCATCGTTTGCTCGAAGCCCTCCTCCCATTTCCTCTTGGACCTCACCTTTTACTGCCTTCCACCCCACTACCTCTGATCTGCCTTTTTCAGCTGCACTCACTTCCTTAACTTTTCCCTGAAAACCCCAGATGTGCTCATTCCTCAGGACCCGTGCACTTGCTCTTTCCTCTGGCTGGGATGCTATTTCCCTGTATACCTGCAAAACTTACAATCTTGTCTCCTTTAGGATATAAATCAAATGTCATCTGAGTGAGGCCTTCTCTAACCACCCTATTTAAAATTGTGACCCACTCTTCAAACCCTAGAAATCCTTATTTTTATTTTTCTCCAGCTCTTATCACCATCTGACAATATTTTACTTATTTACTCCCTTCCTGTCCCCTGTAGGACTTTTGTCTGTTCTGTTCACTGATTTATCTATATTCCTTAGAATAGGACTTGACCCTGAGTAGCTGCTCAATCATGTTGGGTGAATCAATCAATGCCTTTCCTTGCCTGATTCTTCCTTCCCTGGACAGGAAATTTCCTTTCAAAATCTAACTAAGTCTAACCCATTTTCGGAACATCTCCATGTCCTCCAAGTAGTCGTTCTGATTATTCTTGTCCAGCCTGACTATTACGTTTCCTGAGCTAAAGTTATAGATGAAAAATACCATTATAAATGATCACATTTATTCAGAAAATTGAGAAGGAGATTGTGTGGTATTCATGACAACCTCAGCAAGTATTTGGAGGCAGAGGGAGTGACTGAAAAACAAAAAACAAAAACAAATATGTGTTGTAGTACCATCTGCGCTGTAAAGCTGTTATCTCTGAACTTGCTGAGCTGCTCCCCCAGACTCTAGCAGACTGGAGTTAACACACTCATGAATTCTCTCATTAACCAGGGCAGACAAAGATGCAGGAGAAGAGATGAGATGACCACAGATTTTAGTGTATTGGTTACTTGTTACCATAGAGCAAACCACCACGCACTTAGTGGCTTAAAATAATGTGTTTATTATTGATGACATATCTACGAATGAGCATTTCTGTTGTTCTGCATTGGGTTCCCCTGATGTTTGTTGGGTTTTCTTAGGAGGCAGAAGATTAGCTGGTCCAGGATGCCTTCATGCTCATTTCTTGTGGTTAGCCATCTGTTGGGTGGAGCGTGGGGACAATTGGGTCACATACCTGTTGCTTGCCAGCGTGCTGGTCTCAGAGAGTGCATGGAAACACAACATTTGTTGAGGGAGAGGAAGCTTACAGTTGTATAGTACTATCATATATACTGCTTTTAACAGTTTGCATTTTAGTATTTCAATTCTCATAGAAAAGCTGGGGACAAAAGATTAACCGTAAGGTCAGCATCTTGGCGTCTATATAGATGTATTAACTGAAACCTTCAAACATAGAACAAAAAAGCTTTAGGGGACAAGATCCTGCTTTGCTTAGGAAGAGCATGGAATGCCTTGAGTCCCATGTAGCATAAGCAAAGCCCTTCAAGCTCAAGGAGAGGAAACATGAGCATCAAAAGGAGTGTGCTCCCTCCAGCAGTCAGAACCCTCAGGGGTCCTCAGATTCTCTAAGCTTCGGGCTTGGAGTAAAGAAAAGGCTGCACCTTGTTCCTTGTGCAATGAGGCCAAAGGGAAAGATTGGAATAAGTGTAAAAGAAGAAATGGGACTGCTGATGAATCTGAGGACTTTTTGGAATGAGGAAATTCAGTGCAGGTCAGCTGAATGGTGGAGAAAGTAAGGCTGAGACCCAGTGTGTTCAGAACCTTCTGGTTTTCGAGTTATTTGGTCTTGCTATGTGAAGGTGTTGATGAAACACTGCTTATTCTACAGGGTTTGGTCTCATACCCCAGATTGCTAAATGGGGCTAAATCCTAGGGTAGTAGAGTAAGATTCTCATAGGACAAGTTTGAGAGTCTATTTTATCCTCTCCTTACTTTAATATTTTACCAAATTGCTTGATATCAGCCATGTTGTGATTTAATTTTCTCCAAAATTAGCATGTTTCACTTTGTTTTCTTTACTTACTATTTTGGAGACAGCCTGGTTAAAACCTTCCCACTCATGGAATTGTTAGTCAAAATATTTTAGGAGGAAGCTCAAACATTCATTGTTTGCCTTATTAATAATTAATTCAGGCAGATGGAGAAGAATACAATGTGTGCGCTCCCCTTAGTATTACTTGTTATCTGTCCTTATCTTCATCTTCACACCAGGCCTCAGGTAATTCCCCCCCCCCCCCCAAAGGCCATGGGATCATGCACAAGAGTAATCTTAGCTGCATTTCACAGGAATAAGGATGAGGTTAAAATATCTTGCTAATACTCACACAGAGAAGAGGAATGGAGTCAGAGGGAGAGCTGAGGTTATTTGGGCAAGACTAGTATGGCTCCCCAAGTACAGTGGAAGGACAAGCATAAGGCTTCAGAGCTTCCTTGTGCAAAACACTGAGAAAGCTTATCTACTCTAAACCCTAACCAGCTCTCTGGAAACTTGGAGAAATTATGGGTTACCTTTGTAGTTACTCCATGACACGAACTGAATTATTATGTTCAGGGCCGACGCCATGTTTGCACACACATGGGAGAAAGGCTGGTACATAGGCTGATTCCTTGTAGAACTGAATGCATGACTAAATTAAAGCAAAGGGTTCAAGGGATTCCATAGGCAGGGGACTCAAAAACAGGTGGAAAATGTTTGTTGGGGTCCACAGAAAACCCATTCCAGGCCCACCTCCTAGCGGGAGGAGTCTCTGAGCAGACAACCAGGCCCACCTAGGAACTAACTAGAACCAGTTAGATCTGGAACTCAAAATTGTTATTGTGACATTAAACAGGCTGCGGTAGACTACGAGTGCCCCTCAGTGCAGAGATCTGCACCAAAGTGAGGCAGATCTTGGAGCCCCTTTTCAGATTATGTCCCCAGTTGGCCACGGTCCCAACGGTTGGGTTTCCTTTCTGCAGGATGAATTCTATGATCAAGACTCTCTTTAGATTCTGAGGGAGGAGAGAATCAGCACCCCCTGCTTTGCTACAGCTCTTACCTTAGGAGCTCTCTGTTGATTCCTCATCCTGACTTGGAATACATAGAGATTTCTTTGCACTGCTCTAGATTTTAAACTTTCACTCCTTCCCCAATAATCCTGCCCTAAATATTTAATCTGGATATTTGGCAAAATCACTACCTCCCAGCTGTGGACCATTGCCTGTAAAAGGGACACACTGGGGCTTTGGGCTTGGGTCTCACAAAGGGCAGAAAAACATGAAGATTAGAGCAAGATAATGAGCAGCAGACCCATCATTCTCACCCTCGAGGAAGTGAATGCTTCGGCCTGAACTCTCAGGCTCTGCTTCTCCACTGCTCCATCTACTCTTTGTGTGGACACCTGGGAGGTTCCTAAAGCTCCCTTTTCTGGGACCTCCTGTATCTCCCTATTATGCAAATCATAGAGTCGAAAGCAAGGCATACACTCCCAAGACGACTTGGAATGTAAGCTTCTCTATTATCAGCTAATATTGATTTCAAAGTCAAAGCTATTTTTCTTGCCTCAGCTCAGCTCTGCTGCAGTGACCCCCCCCCCAAGTTTGCTTACTCCTGAATGGATCCTTAAGGCATCTGCCCCCTGTCATTGTTCATGTTATTCTCACTTCTTGAAAGGTGCTCCCTGGTGCCTGTCTTGGAACTGCCCTTTCTTCAGAGACCACCTTTCACTATAAAACGTTCTTTTATGCTTCCCAGGAGAATATAAACTTAATGTCTTTCATATTCATAAATCTCTACAATAGCCTTTGTTATGCCCCTTCTTATGGTTTGCTTTTTACTCTAGTGAGTCTTCCCCACTAGATTAGGAGCTGCTGGAGGGCAGACGAGACTTAATTTTGCATTCTGTGTGCAAACGTGGCGTCGGCCCTGAACATAATAATTCTGTTCGTGTCGTGGAGTAGGAACAGCAGCCTATTGCCAGACCTTCTCAAGCGGCTTCCTGGGCCGACACGGGGCAGGGCGGGGGTGGGGGGGGGTGGGAAAGCAACATAATGGACTTTAGATTCAGACGAGGTGCAACGCCGGTGCAATCACTTACTGCTTTCGCGTGACTTATCTCTTAGAACCTTCAATTGCTTCCCATGGAAAGCAAGATTATAAATCCGTAGTGAGAGAATGCCAGGATCTAAATGTCTGAATACTTAATCACTGTCCTGACACTTCCCCCACTGCGGGGGGCAGGATGTATGTACGGGGAAATGCCAGAGGCACTCTTGATTTCCAGCAGGAGCTCTAATTCCCAATACCGCGTGGCTCCTACTTTCATGACTTGATTGGCCCTCATGTGGATAAACAGGATAGCTGTTTTCTCAGTCCAAGATCTACATTTGAAGGCATGCTTCAGGGTCTTGCTGCATAGACATTCTTTTTCTGAAGCTCCTTCCTGGCTCCCCCTTGATTATACCAAGACAAAGGCTGAAGGCTGAAGGTAGTACGGAGTCTCAACTTATTAACCAGATGCTGCAGATAAGACCCTCCCTTTACAAAAAAAAAAAAAAGAGAAAGAAAGAAAGAAGAAAGAAAGAAAGAAAGAAAGAAAGAAAGAAAGAAAGAAAGAAAGAAAGAAAGAAAGAAAAGGAGGATTTTCTACAGTCTGGTTCTTTTTTTTTAATTTTTATTTTTATTTATTTTTTATTTTATGATAGTCACAGAGAGAGAGAGAGAGGCAGAGACATAGGCAGAGAGAGAAGCAGGCTCCATGCACTGGGAACCCAATGTGGGATTCGATCCCGGGTCTCCAGGATCGCGCCCTGGGCCAAAGGCAGACGCCAAACCGCTGCGCCCCCCAGGGATCCCTACAGTCTGGTTCTGTTTTGGATCATTGCACTTTTTCCACAAAAATTCCTACCCCCTGGACCAGCCTGTTTGACTAAATCTATGTTCCTGATTATGCCATTTTTTTTACATTTTTTTTATTTAAATTCAATTTGCCAACATATAGCATAACACCCAGTGCTCATCCCATCGAGTGCCCCCTTCAGTGCCCGTCACCCAGTTGCCACATCCCCCTACTCACTTTCCCTTCTGCATCCCTTTGTGTATTTCTCAGAGTTAGCGGTCTCTCATGGTTTGTCTTCCTCTCTAATTTTTCTCACTCATTTATCTTCTTTCAATTTCAAAGCTCCCCCTTGGTAGTGACGTAGTGGGCGTGTATGTGTTTGGGGGAGGTCCCCTCTTATAAACCATTCATGTGAACATTCACACTGACCTTAATTAGTCAGATGTTCAGTGGGGATAAAGGAAGAATATACTGATGATAGGGTCAAGTTTTGCCTCTTACCAACTGCAAGAGACTGGGAAGTTTTCTTAATGCCTTGGAGCTTCAATTATAAAATAGAGATGATGAGGTATGCCTAGGTGGCTCAGTCAGCTAAGCATCCAACTCTTGGTACCAGCTCAGGTCTTCATCTCAGGGTTGTGAGTTCAAGCCCTGGGTTTGGCTCCATGCTGCATGTAGAGCCTACTTAAAAAAATTAAAATAGAGATGATCATATCTACCACCTAAAGCTATTATGAGCATTAAATAAGGTAACCTGTGGAGATGGTGTCATAGTAATTGGCATGAAACAGGTATTTGATACACTTTGGCACCTTTCTTTTTTCTTTTGAAAGTTACCTCAATAACGCACTTCCCCCATTTGGCTACAAGTTGTCAATTTCATATGAAAGAAGCCTGGGAACTTGGGAATACAGGCTTGTGCTAATTTTATTATCTCATCACTTTCTCTTCTTTTTTCTTAGACTTTTAAAGTTTTATTTTAAGTGAACTCTACGTACATCACACTTGAAGCTTGAACTTTCAACCCTGAGTTCAAGAGTCACATGCTCTACCAACTGAGCCAGCCAGGTGCCCCTCATCACCTTCTATAATCAAAAGGAAGAGAGCAATCAAGGGCTAATTCTTTAGGCCTCAAAACTGCAGAAATAGATTTTTAATGATCCCTTGGTGTTCTTGGAGCCTTGTTAGCCTACTTCCCTGTCCATTAGACAAGGTAAACGTTCTCAGATAAATGTGGTAGTACTTCTTCCAAGTACCTCAGATCATAGCAGCTGATCTTTGCCCCTTCAAAAGTCATGGTCACTATTGATCCAGAAGGAATATTTCAGAATTTTTTTTGGTTAAAATGGAGTCATTGTTATTGTCATGACCTATTGTCCTAGCTACCAGAGGGTCCTACCTACTTAGGGTCATAGAACCTAGTGACCTGCTCCCAGTCACTCTTTCCCAGAGTGACTAATCCTTGTTCCTGGAGCAAGATATGCCCTCCTTCTCTGGTAGATGGACTTGAAAGAGAGTTCAAGGAATCATTCAGTCCAGAAGACCACCTCTCCTTGCTTTCAGGTGTGTGTATTAAGTGCCTATAGTTTTGCTCAAAATACACTAAGGGAACAGGAATGATGGAACAAAGTCAGAAGATTTTTCACCAGCCCCAGGGAACCAAACTAAAGTTCTTCCATGCTCATGTTCTGACCCCAATGATTCAGAGAGGATGGGTAAAGAGCTTGGGTAGTTTTTCCTTTAAAAGAACCAGGATAGTGCAGTTATCATAAGCATAGATTTGGGGGTCAATTCACTATAGCTGTGAGTTGAAATCTGCACAGATGTGTGGCCATGGCCCAGTTTTAAACTTCTCCATACCCTACTTGCCCCCCTTTGTAATGGGCATAATAATACTGCTAATTCAGGTATTATGAAGATTAAATAAGGCAATGCATGGAAAATGCAAATGGAGGGTTTGACACTACCCAATAAATGCCACAAGTGAGTTAAGAGTGAGAGCCTCCATGCCACTTTATAAATTCCAGAGTTTAGAAATTACTGAATGATAGGAACCCAAATGAGTTTGGATTGGGTTCATTTATCAAAAAAAAACCCAAATGAGTAATAATTTGCCTGGGGCAGATATTAAGTAGGGAGAAAATTGAGGAATTTCCCTTTCCATTTAAGCCATAAAAAAGCTTTATTTATAGTTCTTAACTTCCTATCTCAAAGGAGATATTGGGCCAGTTAGAGCCAGGAGATGATTGAATTTGCTGATCAGATTCCCAGGCTTGCATTTCTTTATTGGTCCATTTCTATTTGCTGTCTTTATGATCTTCCCCAACATGATGGCCATGACAGGGAACCAATTCACTAGCCCCCAGACAAAGGCAAAGCTTCCCCTCAGTGGAGGCATTTAAGCAGTGTACTGGCTCAACAGATCGCTGTACCATGATGGTCCCATTTCTTTCCCTCTGGTTTATTCCTGTCACCTTGTATTATGTCCTCTAGGTGCACAGAGAACCGTGGATCATTATCAGTCACAACCTGCCCAACCACATGTATGTACATGCATGTTTGCCTCCACAGATAAAAACATGAATACAGAAGAAAATACGTAGACAGACATCCACACAAATATACATAGACTAAGTCAGAAACACTCTGATAATCATAAATACTCATACAGAATCCGCATTTAATCAGTATGAAAGACAATCCTTTCAAGCACCTTCACCCATGCTTGCTGTCACAAGTATGCACA